TATACACTGAACTGAATCTGCCACTTTTTCAACCACGACATAAGCTAATCCAGATTTTTTTGGAGTTCATTGTCATCTTTCTCTGAATCTATTATTCGGTCTGTTTTTGAGTCAATGAATTTGCTCATGTCACCTGTTATTGCCTGGTCAAGGTAAATCATGGACAACAATTGGTCTAAAATTGATCCTTGTCAAACGCCACTTGTGACAATAAAGAAAGTAAAGTCTACTATTAAAGACAGTCAGTTCTCCATAATACTAATAAACTGAAACAAGAAAGGAATGAAAAAAGAACATAAAACTTTACTTCAATAAAATATTGCAGGAAATAATGTACAAAAAATTCTAGAGAAGTAGTCACAAGACTAGGTATATTTTAGATTACACTAATAGCTGACAAAGTCAGAAGCCAGATAGATTCTCGAAGGATTAAGACGATAATGACCGTAGTGCACAATAACAGTGTGGAATATGAAGGTCATTCTGACTAAGAACTTAATACTGATAACACCTCAGGTTGTAAAGAGCGACGAGTATATCAACACCCCACAAAACCGTGTGAAGTACGACGCTCAGTCTGACAAGAGAGATGCTCCTAACGACACCTAGGTTTGCATTGACTTACAGAGTATATAAATCTCCACACAAAGATCTCTTAACGCAGACACCTCGGCGTTAAAAGAGAGATCAAAGCCTCCACATAAACCAAGGCTAGAAATAACAGTTTCAAAGAAAGAACTCAGGCAAGACCAATATGAAACAGTTGCGTGTGCTAGTGTGTTTATGTAAGAGAGGCCAGAGACCTCTAGCCTCCACCGTCTCGAGACCAGTTCGCTACTGAAAAACGGTATGGTGATACCGACAAGATGTGGAAAAAGACGCTTATGTACAGTTCAGTACATACATTAAAGGAAAAGTTTCGCCACGAGTGTCTTCTTCAGTCTTAATACAGAGATAACTAAGAAACGAGTATATATAGTGGCAGGAGTCAGGTGGTAAGCCACGTGAGGGCAGTAGTAGTACTACTACTAGCAGTAGTAGAGCAATAGTGGTGAGATGGGTTGGGTTGGGAAGGACCTGTCAACATTGTTAAAGCCGTCTCCAGAATGGGTAATATCTTCTTGACTAGTAATTTGGATATTGCGTAACTCCCAGATTTTTGATGGATAGTGTTACTGACAGCAATTAGGGCAGCTTCTATACACTTTCACCGTCTTAAGCTTCTTCATTAGTGACTAATCTAGCCTTGCTGAATTTCATGTGTGTCCAACAACGTTCCTGTGTTGAACACACTCGCTTCTACGGTCATCAAGGCTGTGTTCAATGGTCATAATATCCAGAGTTCTCGCTGTTTCGCACACATATGCTTTGACACACACCCAGCATGGTACTGTGATCGTGCCAGAGTGGCTTGCTCACCAACTTAACACTGGTAACCTGACTGCCGGAGGTGACGCACCCTCAGACAAGGCCACAAGGAAGCAGTTAAGCCACACTGAGGAACTACCTTACCACTGCAATATTACATACCTAGAGTACAAAAGTAAATGTGAATTATGAATAATTCATTGATAAACATACACATGCAATGTTTCTGAGTGCCTACCGAATGTGCAATCCAAAGTTGCCTGATGAGGAAGTTAAGGAAATCTTCGATATTTCTACGAAACTACGGTATCCTAAGGAGTTCGTAGAAACGGCTTTGCTGGCAACTAGGAAAACTTGTACACAAATAACAAGCACATAAGAGAGAGAGAGAGAGAAGCTTACGACGACGTTTCGGTTTGGCTTGGACCATTTACAAAGTCACAATAAGAAAAGAGTGAGGAAACCAGTTTATGTAGGCGAGAGGAAAGAGGGACGGTAACAAGAGAGGCAAAAGAGGAAGTAGTGGTTAAGTAGGCAGTAGTAGAAGATATAGTGGTGGTGGAAAGGAGGGAGTGTAGTTTAGTGGCAAAAGAGAGAGGAAAAAGGCGGGGGGGAGTGAAGGGTAAAGGGAGGTAAAAGTGAAGGCAGTAGCAATAGTAGAGGAATGGGAGGAATGGGTCGATTCACAGCTTCTTCTCTCACCTCTTTGCTGTGTGTGTGTGTGTGTGTGTGGTGTGTGTGTGTGTGTGTGTGTGTGTGTGTGTGTGTGTGTGTGTGTGTGTGTGTTATGCAGGCTACTGCATTAATGTGAAGATAATTCGTATAAAATGTAAGGAGTTTCTACTGGAAGGGAAAAAATTGCTCCATAAATAATGTCAGAGCTTATGTGGACACGTAAGAGAGGGTCAGATGCACACGTATTAAATGGCCAGTTAGACGGGTATTAAACGATCAACTGTAAGTGACTAGTTAGTAGCTGGGAAGACACCATGGAGGCAGGTGCAGATTAAGATAAGATAAGATTTCGTTCGGATTTTTAACCCCGGAGGGTTAGCCACCCAGGATAACCCAAGAAAGTCAGTGCGTCATCGAGGACTTTCTAACTTATTTCCATTGGGGTCCTTAATCTTGTCCCCCAGGATGCGACCCACACCAGTCGAATAACACCCAGGTACCTATTTGCTGCTAGGTGAACAGGACAACAGATGTAAGGAAACGTGTCGAAATGTTTCCACCCGCCGGGAATCGAACCCGGGCCCTCCGTGTGTGAAGCGGGAGCTTTAGCCACCAGGCCACCGGGCGTGGTACATTTTGTTGTAATATTTAGGCCGTAGTGTTGTTTTTGGGATTTTGTTTGTACTCTAAAAGTGCGTCCAGGCATGGGCGTAGCCCTGATATTTATGTGGGGCCTATGTGAGTTGTGGAGAGTACAGAAGTAATAGTGTTTTTACTTGCAGGTTAGAAGCCGGCAGAGGGGGGAGGGGGGGGGATGGAGACTCGTTATTGTGGATATGTGTAATTTTCATATGGCTTAAATTTAATTAACTAATAGCAGCGTACTAGTGTGATATTTTTTAATATATGAAATGTGTTGAAGACGGGTTTCTGTTGTATATATTATGTAGAATATTTGTATATTCTTCTAAAGGTGAGTTTATCTGTCCTTCCTCATGATCAAACCTAAAGTAACGATCACTTGTTTATGAAGTATGAGAGGCCTTAGGATGGCTTATTTTAAAATAGCTCAATATTTACCCCTAGTTAGGTATTTTACCCCCTAGACTTTGTAACAGTGTGTATGTATGAGTACTCTCACTCGTGAGATAGTGTGATTTTTATATTTTATTGTTTATATTTTCAAAATATTGCAGCTTTTTACCGATACCATAAAAATAGACGATACTCTTCGATACCGATAATGTGGCACATCGCTAATTATGTTGAGGTCAGGTTTATTTGACTGTAATTTGGTGGTAATGACTATCTTCAGATTTAAAGATAGGAATTACATTAGCTAACTTCCACATCTGACACTTTGTCTGTTTGAAGATATATATTTAAAAAGCTAGTTAGTGGTTCACTTAGTTTCATCTTGACCCCTTTAATATTAATAATATTGCCCTTTAAAAAGTACGTCGGATACTGGGGATTTGTTTTGCCTTACTAGGTTAACCTGTTTCATAACCGTATCCATTATGAACGTGATATTTAATTTGTTTACCTCAGAGCCATTATAATAATTACTGAGATAATAATAATATAATCATCTCTACAAGTACATGTACAAGGTATACAGTCCTAGCTGATTTCAGTGAAATACTACTATATAGAAAGCCTCTTGTCATACAGAGCATTTTGGGCAAATTAAGTCTTCGTGTGTGTGATCGAGAGAAAATAAGTGTTAAATATCGAGCTCGTGTCTTCTTCATTCAGATTGGTAACAGAGCTACAGATGTCCCTCTTAACATAATGATAAACGGATCACCTATCGCAAAACTCACAGAGGGAAAATTCTTAGGAATCCACCTTGATAATAGACTCAAATTTCAAACATACAACAAATTTCCAAAAAAAATTCAAAGCCCGTAGGCATACTATCGAAGATACGGTATTATGTTCCACAGTCAGCCCTCCTGGCCCTATATCACTCACTTATTTACCCCTATCTCACCTATGGAATTTGTGCATGGGGCTCAACAACAATAAACCATCTCAGACCACTAATTACCCAACAAAAGGCTGCAGTCAGAATGATAAATTCCAACTACAGGCAGCACATTCCACCAATATTCAAAACTCGAAACCTACTCAACATACAAAACATCCATACTTATTACTGCACCTACTACATACATAGAACACTTAACTCTGATATAAACCCTCCCCTCAAACGTCTCCTTACCAACCTCAACAGGACACTTGACCATACCACGAGGCACAGATCACTCTTTGATGTTCCTCGTGTCCATCTCACGCTATGCAAAAACTCAATGCACATAAAAGGCCCTAAAATCTGGAATTCATTACCTGTGAATATAAAAGAAACAATGTTTATAAATTCAAGTCTCTTCTCAAAAATCACTTACTCACCCACAACTAAATAAATACTGAATAATTGTATCTCATAAATGTTTCTCATTATTGTATCTCATAAATGTCTAACCTGTGACCCAATCAAACTGTTATTTTTTAATTACATTGCCTAACAGAATACTTCATTCTACTGAATGCTCAGCAACACAGTAAATGACCATATGACCTGTCTTTGTAATGCTCATTTGTGCTAAATTGTTATCTATTTACAATAATGTTTTTACTACTGAATATATCATTGCTTAGTTAATCTTAACTTAATTTTAAGCCTGCCCATAATGCTCTGCATACAAGGGGCTTTGGCATGTTGCACTTTAATAACTGTATTCCTTTGTACTTCTCTGTATCATGTTCAAATAAATAAATAAATAAATAAAAAAAGGCATCACTTGCTGCTCTGGAACCATCATGGGTTAAACCACCTTCATGTGTTGTTAGATATTCCCGTTATACCTTATCTTAACATGAATTGGTCTTGTTATGACAGACTGGAGTCAAATTATATTTTTCCTGGTAAACACAACATGGAAACAACTTACCTCAGGGAGATGCTGGCCAGGGACACAGTGCATGGGTCCCACCTCCACCTGAGAGGGAAGCAGTGGTACTGGTATGCTGTTGCCCAGGTGAGAGTTGATTAGTGACAGACTGATATTTCTCTCTATCTCCAGCAGCGGCGGCAGCTCCGGGAAGTACACTGACACCTGAACACCAAAAATCATATTATAAATACATAAATGTTGGCAGTAACACCAGCTGTCATGATATACACGTTCTTAGTAATTAAGATACATGTGCATCAGGTATCTTCATTGTTAAAACATTTCGCCTGCTCAGCGGGCTTCTCTGTAGACAGCAGATGAGGTGGAAAAGTAAATATAAGGTGATTAGTCCTTCAGCCTCAAGAAAGAGCTTCTGTTAAGTTGCCTTGACATGACGACCTGCGAAACTAAAAAGGTTCGTGATATGTTAGGATCGATTGGGTTGAGTTTTCCCCAACCAATTCTTTGAAGTACAACCCAATACTTTAGAGACATCAAGTACGCTAAAGTTAATGGTTTCAGCAACGCATGCAATGATGCAATAACCTCAAGACTTCTACCTAAAATTTCCAATAGAATTTCTTCCTGTACAATACCTGTCTATCGCCTGTGATGTGTAGTGCAACTGAAGTACACTGACCTGTGGCGTGCACTGAGTACATCACCATTATTCAGAGTGCATCATACACCTACATTTTGCATTTCCCCACTAATCAGCCATAGCCCAATAGTTGTCGAGGCCCCAAGACTACCGTGAATAAGTGCCATTTATAAACATCCACTCCTCACCCTGATTGATTTAACTCTAGATGAGTTGACTTTATACCATGGGGTCAGTCTCTCACTAGCTCTGGCTGATTACACATACTGGTCTCTCTTGTATGAGTATGAGCCTACGGCATTGAGCCTACTCTATTTTGCTCTCTATCTGTTATTAATTTACTTACAATTATGGTATCTGCCTACTTTACCGTGTTGTTACACTGTAGATACTGGTGCTGGAAGCGTATGGGTACTCGGAAGACTACGTTGTGTTTACCTTTAATACTCCTTAACTGTTCCATGCAGGTGATCATCTCTCATATTTAGGCAACACAGGTCTGTTATTTACGAGTCTTACTAATATGGGATGCCCGTCCTGAAGCATTATTTGGTAAACTGTTTTGTGCTGTGCTTGCCTTAATTTGCTTCTATCTTACGTGTCTGCTGTCTTACTGAAGTTGCTGTCTTACGTTGCTGCTTGCCGTACTTCAGTTGCTGTTATCTTTAAGGAGGGTGGGTGAGGTAATTAAGAGTTTTGGGGATGTTTCGGGTATGGGAGTTAATCTGGCGAAGTCGAGGTTATTGGAGGTAGGGACTTGGGTTGGGGGAGATTGGGGGAGGAGATGGGATGGTCAGTTAGTGACAGACTTAGGGTTTGTGGGATATGGTATATGGTGCAGGTACAGGACTGCAGGAGGATCAACTCTGAACTAGTCACGAGTAGGGTTCTGGGCAAGCTTAGAGGTTTGAGGGTTAGCGAAGTGGCGGTTTTGGTTATTAACTCTCTTGTGTATAGTAAGGTATGGAGTGTGGCGGAGGTGTTCCCTTTGCGGCCGCAGGACATTCAGGAAATACAGAGGAGGGTTTTGAGGTTTATGTGGGGGGTTTAGGAGGGCCTGGTTATATAAGGAAGTGGTTATGACAGATGTGAAACAGGGGGGGGGGTCTAGGATTGTTGGCTTTGGGACCTAGGGTAATGGCTGTATATATTAAGCAGAGGTATATTAGGGTGGGGGAAAGAGGGGTGTTAGGGTGGATAGGGTAATGAGGGATGCTAGAAACTGGTGAAGTGGCAGGGACTAGAGGGATTGCGAGGATTTGCTGAGGTTTTTATTGAAGGTTAAAACGTTGGTGGGTGTGGTGTGGGGACGGGGTGTCTTACAGGGGGTTGCCGTGTACCCCATGTATAACTGGCAGGTGATATGGAGGGAGTTCAGGCTGCTTAATTAAGATACCAACAAGGGTCAGGGAGTTGGTATACCGTTTCCTCATGGGAGTGGTAGCATCTAAGCATGTGTTGCATAAAATGGGGTTGGTGAGGGATGCAACATGCTTGTTCTGGGGGGAGGTGGAAACCGCCTTTCACGTGGTATATTTTTGCTCATCTTTGGGGGGGTGAGGGTCTGGATGGGGGGTGTTATCAGGCTGTTTGGGGGGGGGTCGCTCTTTTCTTAGGGCCTTGTCGTTGGATGTCAGTGGGGTATCAGGGGAAGTGGGAAGGGCTTTGACGTACGTTATGGCGGATTATTTGCATGTTTCTTGGGGAATGAGGGAGATTAAAGGTCAGTTGAGGATAAAAGCGTTAGCAGCTAGGTTCTATAGAACAATGTGTAGGAATAGATTAATCTATGGGGGGCGTTGGGAGTCCAGTTTCTCGGAGGGTTATCGTAACCTCTCTGTGGCGAAACTTCCTCCGGGCTTATGGGGGCGGGCATGGGGCTGGTCTCCTTTCGTGAATGGTGGGTATGGTAAGGTTGTGGAGTTTATGTGGTGTATGTGATGTGTGGGTGGAGTATGTGAGGGCTTCAACTTGGACCCTGGTTGTGTTCCTTGCGGGTTAATTCATCTTTTATTCCGGCCAGTCATGTATATTTTTTGGTAATTGGATAATTATTACACTGTCAGGGATTGGTGGCTTAGGCATCTGTTATGGTGGTTTATATAATGTCATGGGCCTTGTGCTGTTTTATACTTTATGTGAATTTGGTCCATTGTGTTACCAAGCATGTCCACAGGTAGTTTTTTTTAATTACTTTGGAAAAGGTGTTTGGAGACGTTATGCTCGCTAAGTAGGCCAAGAGTCCGATAGTATGGGCTGTTTATTGCATATAAGGCGGTCTAAGATTTAGCTGCAGGTACTTTCTGTTATTGTTTTATTCAATGCCCGATTTATGCTTATTACATACTTTCTCATGTTAATGCATTGTACAATTTTATTTTTACAACGATGTACTATTGTGTTTCAGATAGGGAGATAAGGATTTTATGCACTGTAACTTGGCAGTTTTGATACATTACGTTAGGATTTTGTTATTTGTATGGGCTGTTATTGTATATATAATGTTGTGTCTTCTACTTGCGGGTGTTTCCTGCTCAGTGTTTATGTGGGGGGTTTCATTGTGATATGTGCCATTGTAATGTTTATTGTAGGCTTTGGTTTGCCTAATGTTTAAGTTAATGTAGTGTATAATTTTAATTCTTGTATGTTGTATGATATTTACTGTGTACTTTGTGCAAGGGGTCTAATTGTAGAGCTGTGGGGGGTTTTGTGTGTATACAGGCATGAATTGTGAGTTTTTGTTTTTGCTAATGTTATTTTCTGTGCTGGAGCTATCTCGTTTTTTTTATTCTGTTAAGCGTTTCTTGCTCTTTGCGGGAAGTTTTATTGTGGTATGTCATTGCACTGTTTATTGTAGGTTTAGGTTGTCTTTTGTTTAATTTATTGTAATGTATAATTTTATCTTTTGTATGCTGTATCATATCTTCTGTGTACTTGGTGCAAGGGGGTCTTATTGTACAGTGTTTTGGGGGGTTTTGTTTTTTTTGCACAGGCATGAATTGTAGGTTTTGACTTTGTTAATGTATTTTCTGTGCAGGAGTTATCTTGTTCTTTTCATTCTGGGGTTGATGGTAGGTCATGGTATTTGCAAATGGCTAATTATCGTGTTATTTATTTAAATGTTGTACTGTGTCTTTTTAAATGAAAAAAAAAAAGTTGCTGCTATCTTACATGGCTGCTTGCCTTGCTTAAGTTGCTGTCTTGTGTTGCGAGTGTATATTGTTACTGTGAGGCGTTGGTTACACTGTTTTATCTGTGTTGGTAAAGCCACCAGTAAATATCAGGAGTTTAGTTACGACACATACTTTGCAAATTTTGCCCAAACTATCTCTGCAGCGCTGCTGGCTTATGACCAGTTCTATTGGCAATGAATATCGTCTCACTTTAATTGCCGCACAGCTTCATGAACTAATTCACAAAAAGCTAAGGTCTGACCCATTACTAATGGCTTATCCATCTGGTGTATCTGCTATACAGGGAGCTTGTTATAGTCTCCGCTCTCCAATCCATTTCCCGTCTTGTAAATATGTACGTGAAAATCTGTCAGTTGTACAGTATTATTATAATCATGGGGGAGCGCTAAACTCGTAGGATTATACAGCACATGTGAGGGGGGGATGGAAAATATTCAGGCTCAATTCTGGGAACCAGAGCACGGATCCATTTCCCTATATCAAGAGCCCCTCACCAACGTTAAGGAACCTCCCTTGAGGGGCTGTCAATTGTAAAGGCAATTGGCCGGGGACCAGGTTTAGCTCAAGACCAATTTGCTTCGTTGACACTGGAACTGCCAGACGAGGGGACAAGGGGCTTTCGCCAAGGAAAAATATGATAGGAGAGGAAACAATATCATCGTACCTGTGAGGAGAATTTTAATGGTCAATAATCAGAATCGTTGTACCTCGTTTTCCTGAAGCGGAACCTAAGCAATTCTTCGAATTGTTCAAAAAATCAGGCTCGAGCTTCGCATTGGTCACTCGAGCATTGGGAAGAACTTATTCACACAGTGTTATGTGGGATGGTACTCGAAATTACTTCCAGCTTGTGTGATGATGAGTCTACTAGTTATGGAGCTGTGCAGGCAACGGTGCCCAATGCCTGTCCATGCATACCAGCTAAATATAGAGGCGAGTATAAGTTAAACAGGCGTCAAACTGGACAATCTTATGTGGATTTAGCTAGGCAAGAGTCAAAAATATTTACAAAAATGGTATAAGGCTTCAGATGTGTGAAATTTCGGCGATTTAATGCAGCTAATTTTGCTTGATAATTTCCTAAGACCTGTTAGTAATGTAGTTACTATATTTCTTGAGGACCACACCTAATATTGTTACTGTAGCCACACGTATCAGTACTTGCATATATGCATAACCACACTCACATTCACAAGGGAAATTGACCTGACGACACTGGATGACAGGAGAGAGAAAGGGGGGATATGATAACGACATGTGAAATACTGAGAGGAATCGACAAGGTGGATAGACAGGATGTTCCGGAGATGGGACACAGCAACAAGGGGTCACAGTTGGAAGTTGAAGGCTCAAATGAATCACAGGGATGTTAGGAAGTATTTCTTCAGAGTTGTCAGGATGTGGAATAGTCTGGGAAGTGATGTAGTGGAGGCAGGATCTATACATAGCTTTAAGAAGAGGTATGATAAAGATCATGGAGCAAGAAGAGTGACCTAATAGCGCCAAGTGAAGAGGCGGGGCCAGGAACTGTGAATCGACCCCTTCAGCCACAATTAGGTGAGTACAACTAAATAAGTACAAGTATATATAAATATACGTGTGCACATGCATGCATGCATGCATGCATACATACATGCATAAATGAATATGCAGAAGCATATACATGCACACACATGCATAAACACACGAATACAAATACACATTTACACACATTTACACACATTTACACACACACACACACACACACACACACACACACACACATAGACGAGACAGGAGAAAGGGACTACATAGTTACACTTCAGTCTGGGGAGCACAAGGTGGTCATTGCAGTGATGTATAATCCACCACAGAACTGCAGGAGGCCAAGAGAGGAATATGAAGAGAGCAACAGAGCAATGGTGGACACACTTGCTGAGGTGGCAAGAAGAGCTCACTCCAGCAGAGCAAAGTTGCTGGTTATGGGTGATTTCAACCACATGGAGATTGACTGGGAAAACCTGGAGCCACATGGGGGTCCCAAAACATGGAGAGCCAAGATGTTGGATGTGGTGCTGGAAAACCTCATGCACCAACATGTTCAGGACACTATCAGAGTGAGAGGGGAGGATGAACCAACAAGATTGGACCTTGTGTTCACCCTGGGCAGTTCAGACATTGAGGACATCACATATGAGAGTCCCCTAGGAGCTAGTGACCACGTGGTTCTGTGCTTTGAATACATAGTAGAGTTGCAAGCGGAGAGAGTAACAGGAGTTGAATGGGAAAAGCCAGACTATAAAAGAGGGGACTATATAGGGTTGAGGAACTTCCTGCAGGAGGTTCTGTGGGACAGAGAACTGACAGGAAAGCCCGTAAATGAAATGATGGAATATGTAACAACAAAATGCAAGGAGACAGTGGAAAGGTTTATTCCCAAGGGTAACAGAAACAATGGGAAGACCAGAACGAGCCCCTGGTTTACCCGGCGATGTAAGGAGGCAAAAACAAAGTGCAATAGAGAATGGAAAAAGTACAGAAGGCAGAGAACACATGAAAATAGGGAGATTAGTCGCAGAGCCAGGAACGAGTATGCACAGGTAAGGAGGGAGGCCCAGCGACAGTATGAAAATAACATAGCATCGAGAATCAAGACTGACCTGAAACTGTTGTATAGCCACATCAGGAGGAGGACAACAGTCAAAGACCAGGTGATCAGACTGAGGACAGAAGGTGGGGAACTCACAAGAAATGATCAGGAGGTATGTGAGGAGCTAAACAGGAGATTTAAGGAAGTTTTTACAGTAGAGACAGGAAGGGCTCTGGGAAGACAGCATAGAAGGGAACATCAAGAGGGAATATACCAACAAGTGTTGGATGACATACGAACAACCGAGGAGGAGGTGCAGAAGCTGCTAAGTGACCTTGATACCTCAAAGGCAATGGGACCGGATAACATCTCCCCATGGGTCCTTAGAGAAGGAGCAGAGATGCTGTGCGTGCCCCTAACCACAATCTTCAGCACATCCCTTGAAACTGGGCAACTATCTGAGAAATGTAAGACAGCAAATGTAGTCCCCATATAAGAAAGGAAACAGAAATGAGGCACTAAATTACAGACCTGTGTCTCTGACATGTATTGTGTGCAAAGTCATGGAGAAGATTATCAGGAGGAGAGTGGTGGAACACCTGGAATGGAACAAGATTATAAATGAAAACCAGCATGGGTTCATGGAAGGCAAATCCTATGTCACAAACCTTCTGGAGTTTTATGACAAGGTAACGTAAGACACGAGAGAGAGGGGTGGGTTGATTGCATTTTCCTAGATTGCAGGAAGGCCTTTGACACAGTTCCCCACAAGAGATTAGTGCAGAAGCTGGAGGATCAGGTGCATATAACAGGGAGGGCACTGCAATGGTTCAGGGAATACCTGACAGGGAGGCAACAACGAGTCATGGTACATAAAGAGGTATCACAGTGGGCGCCTGTGACGAGCGGGGTCCCACAGGGGTCAGTTCTAGGACCCGTGCTGTTTTTGATATATGCAAACATGATGGAAGGAATAGACTGAAGTGTCCCTATTCGCAGATGATGTGAAGCTGATGAGAAGAATTAAATCGGATGAGGATGAGGCAGGACTGCAAAGAGACCTGGACAGGCTGGACATGTGGTCCAGAAACTGGCTTCTCGAATTCAACCCTGCCAAATGCAAAGTCATGAAGATTGGGGAGGGGCAAAGAAGACCGCAGACAGAGTATGGGCTAGGTGGACAAAGACTACAGACCTCACTCAAGGAGAAAGACCTTGGGGTGACCATAACACCGAGCACGTCACCGGAGGCACACATCAGCCAAATAACTGCTGCAGCATACGGGCGCCTGGCAAACCTGAGAATAGCGTTCCGATACCTTAATAAGTAATCGTTCAAGACACTGTACACTGTGTATGTTAGGCCCATACTGGTGTATGCAGCACCAGTCTGGAACCCACACCTGGTCAAGCACGTCAAGAAGTTAGAGAAAGTACAAAGGTTTGCAACAAGGCTAGTCCCAGAGCTCAGGGGAATGTCGTACGAGGCAAGGTTGAGGGAAATCGGACTGACGACACTGGAGGACAGAAGGGTCAGGGGAGACATGATAACGACATACAAGATACTGCCGGGAATAGACAAGGTGGACAGAGATAGGATGTTCCAGAGAGGGGACACAGAAACAAGGGGTCACAACTGGAAGCTGAAGACTCAGACGAGTCACAGAGACGTTAGGAAGTATTTCTTCAGTCATAGTCGTCAGGAAGTGGAATAGCCTAGCAAGTGAAGTAGTGGTGGCAGGAACCATACATAGTTTTAAGAAGAGGTATTTTCGTAGGGGTTCTTAAAAGGAGATATCGAGGGTTGAAGATAGACACACTTGTTGGATGGTAACGCTATATTGTCAGACTGTGGTAATGGGAGATGGAGCCCAGCCTTGCCGTGTTCTAGCCTGGATGTCTGTGCACCTACTGAGAAGGAGGCAGAGGTACGAACGTACACATGAGCATCCCGTGACGTCACACAAACAGTCACAGGCCTAAAAGGGATCTTCTATATAAACACATGGATGGTACTATGATATGCTATACAACACATATAAGGGGATTCAGCAACTATGCTGACAGTATGACAAAGCTCAGGAAGCATAAATGAATATGCAGAAGCATATACATGCACACACATGCATAAACACACGAATACAAATACATATTTACACACACACACACACACACACACACACACACACACACACACACACACACACACACACACACACACAGTGAAGAGGCGAGGCCAGGAGCTATGAATCGACCCCTGTTACAACTAGGTGAATACACACACAGGGACGTGTGGTGGGCTAGCTGCGGGATTTTCAAGAATAACTCCTGATCAAAGAGGCTGACCAGGTCAAGACTGAACAGGACTGTGTGTGAATACTTTGGGAAGGTTCAAGTTTAGTGAGAAGATATTCTAGTACATCGTGTCAACGTAAATCGTGGAAGTGTTGTGCAGTTTGTATGAAGGTTGGTGAGTGGTGTTAGTGGGGAAGATGGCCGGTGGGGGTGGTGGATGATAAGGCCTACACTGTACGTGGGTACCGGCCAAGATTATCATATATACAACCCTCGAGAAGCCTTCATAAACACATCTATATATGCATACATGTACATACACATACAAACATACTTAAATACACATACATTCATACAGAAACATTCACCCATACATGCGTACATATATACATACGTATAGGCATACATACATAAATACAGACAGAAACACATACATATACATTCTTACTTACATGCATGCATAAATATGTACATGTACATACAAACCTACATATGAGGCCTGGTCACAGACCGGGGCGCGGGGGCGTTGACCCCCGGAACTCTCTCCAGGTAAACTCCAGGTATACACACCTACATATGCGCATACATATAGATACGTTTATTATTATTCGTATTATTCTATTATGGATGAGTTACAGACCTCTTTCTGTATCTTGGGCATCATGCCCCAGACACGCCAGTAACCCGCTACACTCAGAAGAATGTAGAGGTTGTGGAGGCGGTCAGAGAGAGAGTAGGGTCTTGGGTAGTCGAAGTATTCATTGGAGACGTACGAAGGGTTGAGAACGTTGCCCATGATGGCGCTGTGACGAGGCTCCACGCCCCCAACAGCCAAGGTGATTAACGGCATTCCCACAGCAAAAGGGTAAGCTATCTGGAATACAGAGGGTGGAATACACAACCTGGAAATCAATCCTTGGAGGAGGTTTCAGTCGAACTCTGACCATTATCGAGTCACAGCTTATATAGAAAAGAGAAGTAAGTGAGGAGTAAGGAGACGGTCGTGGTCAGGTCTGATTAGGAAACACATCAGTTTAGGTCAAGTAAGGAGACAGCCATGGCCAGGTCTGGAGAGCTGAGGAGACAGTCATGGTCAGGTCTGGAGAGCTGAAGAGACAGCCATGGTCAGGTCTGGTGCGAGTGTCGTGGGTTTTTTGTATATTTTTGAAAGAAATGATGTCTTTGTTCGGTGACCTGCATAGAACCAGCTACAGAAAACCGTGGTTTACCTTCGTTGTCTAGCTGAAGAGTGAATTTGATAGTTCGACGGCGTTGATCCTATGAAGGTGTTTGTATGTTATGCATCTCGAAAATGCCATGTCATCAATATTTCAGAGCTGTATGACTATATTAAGAATGATATTTCGTAAACCTTTTGCCCTGGTCAGTATTTTTCATGGAAAACCTAGAGACTGGCAACTTTCGCAATATTCTGGACATTTATTCCAGATGACTCTACAAAAAAACCTAAAGGTTGACAACGTCAAATTTTCTATTAAATTCTCTTTAGGACCAAAAAACAAAGGTAAAGTACCATTCGTGAATGTTCTATGTACGTCACCACCAGTCTTCTCGCACCATGACATTTCGCACCATGACACTCGCACCATGACACTCGCACCAAGGTCCCAGGATCCAAATACATCATCGTAGGTTATGTACATATGCCCTTTAATCCATATAATCATTATACTTTCTATTTTCTTTTATTCTTGAGAGTTAGAGATGGTATAACATGAGTTAGAAGGTAAACCATAACTGTGAGGGTAAGTTGTAGCTTGAGTTAGGTGAGTCACAACGTGAGTTACAAAATATAAATAAAAATGAAGGAACAGTGACCTCATTGAACATATGACTCGTGATAACCACATCAAATTCGTGTCTTCTGTTGTAGACTTGCATAACACTTGGTGAAGAGTAGAACTTGGACACCAGCGACACCCGAAACGTCTCCATTGACGATAAAGATTCTGTAAATAGTATATGTACATGAATATCAGTAAGTTCTTACCAGATCACATATATCATTAAGGTAATGGTAATTATGGTAATAAGGCACATAAACTAATTAAACAAGTTGACATCGAAGTTGATAAAGATTCACATGCAGTAACTGAAAATGTTATTAAAGATAACGGTATCACCTGCATAGTGGGCTTTTTTTTTTTTTTTTTTTGGTAAGCCTGATAGATTATACCTGGTTGCAGCACGGTATATAGGCAGAAAATAGGAACATGGTTAGGTGTGATTACCACTATTAAGCAAATAATGAGGAACTCTGTAATCGGTCTTCCGGTTCAAGTTGATTAATATATACAATGTGTGTGACACTTAGGTATCTTTATTGACCAGGTGATTACACTACTGATGATTACTGATGATTACACTACTGGTGATTACTGGTGACTACACTACTGGTGATTACTGGTGACTACACTACTGGTGATTACTGGTGACTACACTACTGGTGATTACAGTATTGGTGATTACACTGGTGATTACACTATTGGTGGTTACTGGTGATTACACTACTGGCAATTACTGGTGAATGCTGGTGATTTACACTACTGGCTATTATCGTAATGGTGATTACTGGAGACTGTAGGAAAAAATGAAGGGGCAGTAATCTGAGGGATTATCTCGCTTACCTGAGAAATAATCCTCATGAGTCTTTAAACAAGTTGACCGATTAAAGCAAAATCAGTCCCGAGGACTCTAACTTTTATTCAAGGGTTCCCGAGGTAAGCAAGGTGGACCATAATGACCCACTAACAAGTGTTTTCAGTGTGTTAATGGAGACGAGTGTCGCACCTGGTGTGTGGAAGAAGGGTAATGGGATTCCTCTGTTTCTTCTTGATTCGCCGGTACTCTCCCGGCCCGGGTCTTTTCCAGATGGTGACCCGGCCATGGCTGCCTGTCGTGGGAGTATCTGAGACCTATGTCTCCCATGGGAGGAGGTACAAGTACCTCATCTTCTGGGACCAACTGTCCCCAGGCCTAGCCCCATTCCCCGTCCTCACGGGGCTCGTAGGGAGAGGCTAGGCCTCTGGTCTGCCATCTTCCCCGCCCCAGGGGGGCTCGTGGGAATAGCAGTCTTGTGAGCTGCAGGTGGTAGCAAGCTCTGGCTCTGGCACCTTCCCCGCCCTAGAAGAACTCGTGTGAGTGATGTCTCCCCTTTCCTCTGTTGTAAGCAGTGACACGCCCTTCATTAAAATTACCCTTCAGTGAGCCTGACATCATAGTGGGAAAATTATTAGAATCTGTAATAGCAGGAATGATTAGAAACCACTTTGATGGGCATAATTAGAAGCCACTTTGATGGGCATAATTAGAAGCCACTTTGATAAGCATAATTTAATTATAGTCTCTCGACAAGGATTCACAAGTCTATCATGTCTAACAAACCTACTAACCTCCTTTAGCATAACATTGGAGGCAATGGACATAAGATAGAAGGTGGTCAGTTTCTCAGGCTCAGGGACTGATTGCCTTAAATTGCTCCTACTGTCTACAGTATTCAGCTAAAAAAAAAAACCTGCACCGGCGAAAACGCTTCGGCAATGATGTCAAAGTTTTGCACTTTTCTTATTCATCAAGGCGACAGTGCCTAAGCATGCTTAAGCACTTAGAATTCATGGAGCTGGAGTTCTGGGGTTATATTACAGTTTATTACATCACTAATAAATAGCCTCACTTAGATTATGCAACTCAGTTCTATTCCTGCTAGAATGTATGCAAATGTATCGGAGAACTTAGGGAGAAGGATAACAAATTTATTCACTCTGCCAGGAGTCTTTCGTATAACGACAGAGATCCTTGATCACAGAGACACGAGGCCAAAGACATATATACTGAAAACGGAAGAGATCTAGCAGGTGAGTGGAGCCTGTTAGTGGGAGCACAGTAGGTCACGCTAAGCATGTGAGTAGCAGATGCGTAGAAGGCAGTATAACTGTGACAGTCAGTAAGATCTCGGGCAATGCTTACTCTGTTACAAGGGTCGGTGAACTTTTTGTTATGTATTATCCCAAAACAAATTTATGTACAGCAAAATTTCCCACTAAACTTTAAAATTAATAGAAAACCGACCCCTTTAACATAAAATCCAGGCAATTTGTCACTGTTCTTCCCAAAAGGCCTTGGTGTACTATGCCGATGAATAATACCTGACTATCTGTATGGAAGCCTACCTACATGTATACTTAAATACCAGCGAGAATGCATAACTACCCACAGGAATATATAAATACCTGCCGGGTTTTTAGCCATGCCGAACCTGCTGGATGTGTAGGCGAGTGTTACTGGTACCACCACTTCTGTGATGTTGGGGTGAGTGAAGGCTGCATCTATGATCTGTACCGTCACCACCTGTGGTACAAGTATTGTGGTGAGTGTACCGTAGCTCTCACTGCAATAAGTTGTTTTGGTACCCGTACTCTTCACTTGTTTTCATTTTTTTTCTTTTTCCTCTGAAAGCTCTCGCTCTGCTAAGTTATGGCAGCCTTGCTCTTCACCGGGTTTATTCCACGCTTCCTCAAAGATCTCTCACTCTATGTAGATAAAAGGTATAAAATACTACCGCCACGATGGGAAAATAAACAAATTATTCGTGACCTGATAAAGTCCACTGTGTGGGCGAAACGTCAATAAAGGATCGCAATACACACTATTTGTGTTTATTTTCCCATCTCTCACTCCAGTAAAGTGTTATGGAGCCTTTTTCATTCATCCCAGTGAATTATTATGGCACCTCCCCCCCCCCAGGTGAGTCTATTCAACGCTTTATCCCTCACTTACTGCAGTAAATTAAGGAACTTTTGTTATTCACTGAGTTTATTTCACATTTTATCTTCTATCTTTCACTATATTAAGGCACCTCGGTTTTTCGTTGAGTTTATTCTTTACATCCTCTCATAACTCTTACCACAGTAAGCTGTAATGGAACTGTCTCTTCAGAAGTTTATTCTACACATCCTCTATTATCATTTTAGCCCCCAAGTCGTATTATGTACGTTACTAGAGCTGTAAGTACCGGGAAAATACCAGATATAAAATTATGAAAGTAAAAGTGATTACCAGCATTAAAATAAATGAATTTGCAAATCAAAAACAAATATGCAGAAAAGGTATCTTATACAAATGTAGCTAATAAATAATAATTACCTATACTGACGTTAGTACTTGTTATACTGATAATATCTATAAGTTGAATGATTAAGACACATGTGACAACAGTTCAGTATCTTTATTGATGAAACGTTTCACCTACACGGTAGGCTTCTTCAGTCATATACAAAGGGAACAGTAGTAATGAAATAAAGATGTAGTCAATCCATCAACCTTAAAGAAAAAAATATCTGAGGTTGAGTCAGCTTCATGGTCCCTCCTGAGTCTGGAGGGACCATGGAGCCAAACTCTTCTCCAGGCTGAGGGACGGATCAACTCAAATACTTTTTCTCCAAGGTTTATGGACTGATTGCATGATCTTTATTTCATTGCTACAGCTCCTTTTGTATTTAACTGAAGAAGCCTAACGTTTCATCAATAAAGATACCCAACTGTTGCATATGCGTCTTAATCTTCAACCTGTAGGTATTTTGTACCATTTTTCAACAATATCTATAAGTTAAGCTCTGGGGAAAGTATCAGTTTTGTTATAGTACAACTGTGAAGTCAGTGTGACTGATACTGTCCTAGTTACCGAAATAACTTTCCAAGTACATGTGTTTTTCTCAGTTAATTCTACCTGAACAGTAACAGAATGTGTCAAGCAAGGATGATGCCTGGAGTATCGGGATTAATAGATCTCTTTCAGAACCACGTTAAAAAGTTTTGATTTATTCTACAGCATGTGGGCGACTTGCTTTTAAAATCTGGCGAGTCGCTTAAAATTGGGTAAATTGCTTCGTGGAATATAATGAGTGTAGTTGCTTGGGTGAGACTGTGCTGCAGACTTTCACCCACCTGTATGGAACAACAAGCCACACTGGTGACGCATGTTGTTTCCAAGGTCGTTACTGTGATGATTGGGAAACGCTCTTGATCAAAGGTAGTAGAGGTACTGTTTCCTTCCTTGCCTCACACCTGATTACCACCTTTTCCCAGGAGCTGTGATGATCGTATCGCTCCCCAGTCTTGATAGTGATCTTTAATGTCGAGATGGATGATTTAATTATATGAAAAAATGAGAAAGGGAAGAGTAGCAGTTGCTTGTGTGGTGACCAGGGTGCACAACAGTGCACCAGCACCCGTACTGTTGTGTGGTGACCAGGGTGCACAACAGTGCACCAGCACCCGTACTGTTGTGTGGTGACCAGGGTGCACAACAGTGCACCAGCACCCGTACTGTTGTGTGGTGACCAGGGTACACAACAGTGCACCAGCACCCATACTGTTCTGTGGTGACCAGGGTACACAACAGTGCACCAGCACCCGTACTGTTGTGTGGTGACCAGGGTACACAACAGTGCACCAGCACCCGTACTGTTGTGTGGTGACCAGGGTGCACAACAGTGCACCAGCACCCGTACTGTTGTGTGGTGACCAGGGTGCACAACAGTGCACCAGCACCCGTACTGTTGTGTTGGTGACCGGGTACACAACAGTGCACCCCAACCCCGTACTGTTGTGTGGTGGGCCCAGGGGTGCAACACAGTGCACCAGCACCCGTACTGTTGTGTGGTGACCAGGGTGCACAACAGTGCACCATCACCCATACTGTTGTGTGGTGACCAGGGTGCACAACAGTGCACCAGCACCCGTACTGTTGTGTGGTGACCAGGGTGCACAACAGTGGGACCATCACCCCTACTGTTGTGTGGTGACCAGGGTGCACCAACAGGCACCAGCACCCGTACTGTTGTTGTGGTGACCAGGGGTACAACATTGCACCAGCACCCATACGTTGTGTAGTGACCGGGTGCACAACAGTGCACCAGCACCCATACTGTTGTGTGGTGACCAGGGTGCACAACAGTGCACCAGCACCCATACTGTTGTGTGGTGACCAGGGCGCACAATAGTGCACCAGCACCCATACTGTTGTGTGGCGACCAGGGTGCACAACAGTGCACCAGCACCCGTACTGTTGTGTGGGTGACCAGGTACACAACAGTGCACCAGCACCCTACTGTTGGTTGTGGTTGACCAGGGTGCACAACAGTGCACCAGCACCCGTAATGTTGTGTTTGGGGACCAGGGTGCAAAAACAGTGCACCATCACCCATACTGTTGGTGTGGTGACCAGGGTGCACAACAGTGCACCACACCCGTACTGTTGTGGGTGACCAGGGTGCACAACAGTGCACCCTCACCTCATACTGTGGTTTTGGTGACCAGGGTGCACACAGTGCACCAGCACCCGTTTCCTGTTGTGTGGTGACCAGGGTGTACAACAGTGCACCAGCCCCCCATACTTTGTGGGAGTGACACAGGGTGCACAAACAGTGCACCCAGCACCCATACTGTTGTGTGGTGACCAGGGTGCACAAAACAGTGCACCAGCACCCATACTGTTTTTGGGTGACCAGGCGCCCCAATAGTGCACCAGCACCCATACTGTTGTGTGGGGGACCAGGGTTTCACAACAGTGCACCGCACCCATACTGTTGTGTGGTGACCAGGGTGCAAAAACAGTGCACCAGCACCCATACTGTTGTGTGGTGACCCGGGTGCACAAACAGTGCACCAGCACACCATACTGTTGTGTCGGGACCAGGGTCACAGTGCACCAGCAAACCATACTGTTGTGTGGTGACCAAGGGTGCACAACAGTGCCCCCAGCACCCATACTGTTGTGTGGTGACCAGGGTGCACAACAGTGCACCAGCACCCATACTGTTGTGTGGTGACCAGGGTGCACAACAGTGCACCAGCACCCATACTGTTTGGGGGGTGACCAGGGTGCACAACAGTGCACCAGCACCCATACTGTTGTGTGGTGACCAGGGTGCACAACAGTGCACCAGCACCCATACTGTTGTGTTGTGACCAGGGTCACAGTGCACCAGCAGCCATACTGTTGTGTGGTGACCAGGGTGCACAACAGTGCACCAGCACCCATACTGTTGTGTGGTGACCAGGGTGCACAACAGTGCACCAGCACCCATACTGTTGTGTGGTGACCGGGACGCACAACGGGGCACCAGCACCCATACTGTTGTGTGGTGACAAGGGTGCCACAAACAGTGCAAACCCGCACCCCCTACTGTTGGGGTGGTGACCAGGGTGCACAACAGTGCAACAGCAGCCATACTGTTGTGTGGTGACCAGGGTGCACAACAGTGCCACCCAGCAGCCATTTCTGTTGTGTGTGGTGACCAGGGTGCACAACAGTGCACCAGCAGCCCATACTGTTGTGTGGTGCCAGGGTGCACAACAGTGCAACCAGCACCCATACTGTTTTGTGGGTGGACCAGGGTGGGACAACCCGTGCACCAGCACCCTATGTTTGTGTGGTGACAAGGGTGCACAAAAGTGCACCAGCACCCATACTGTTGTGTGGTGACCAGGGCGCACAACAGTGCCCCCAGTACCCGTACTGTGTGTGGTGGCAGGGCGCACAACAGTGCACCAGCACCCGTACTGTTGTGTAGTGACCAGGGTGCACAACAGTGCACTAGTACCCACTGTTGTGTGGTGACCAGGGTCACAAAAGTGCACAAGCACCCATACTGTTGGTGGTGACCAGGGTGACAAACAGTGCACCAGCACCCATACTGTTGTGTGGTGGGCCAGGGGCGCACAACAGTGCACCAGCACCCGTACTGTTGTGTGGTGACCAGGGCGCACAACAGTGCACCAGCACCCGTACTGTTGTGTGGTGACCAGGGTGCACAACAGTGCACTAGTACCCACTGTTGTGTGGTGACCAGGGTGCACAACAGTGCAACCAGCACCCCATACTGTTGTGTGGTGACCAGGGTGCACAACAGTGCACCAGCACCCATACTGCGTGTTGGTGACCAGGGTGCACAAACAGTGCACCAGCACCATACTGTTGTGTGGTGACCAGGGGGCACAACGTGCAACCAGCACCCCATACTGTTGTGTGGTGACCAGGGTGCACACAGTGCAAACCCGCACCCAATACTGTTGTGTGGTGACCAGGGTGCCCCAACAGTGCACCAGCACCCATACTGTTGTGTGGTGACCAGGGTGCACAACAGTGCACCAGCACCCATACTGTTGTGTGGTGACAAGGGTGCACAACAGTGCACCAGCACCCATACTGTTGTGTGGTGACCAGGGTGCACAACAGTGCACCAGCACCCATGCTGTTGTGTGGTGACCAGGGCGCACAACAGTGCACCAGTACCCGTACTGTTGTGTGGTGAGCAGGGCGCACAACAGTGCACCAGCACCCGTAC